TTTAATATAAGATTATTTGAGTTTTAATACAAGATTATTTGAGTCTTAATATAAGATTATTAGATTTGTAATTAGACTTAGCATATATGATTGTTAGAGTTTTAGTACAAGATTAGTACAGTTTTAATGATTATCTAGGGTTCTAATATACGACACTTAGACTTAGCATTTATGATTGTTAGCATATAAGATTGTTAAAGCAAATATGACCTATAGACTTAGCAAATATTTCTTGTATGAACAGATGGCTGATCGCAATGAGGAACAGATACTGTACGATACAATTGCGGAGGGAAGCAGCTAGTACTGGAACGAAGAAGAGGGGAACGAGGATCCAAACCAGTACATGAACGAGGAAGGGAACGTGGAGAGGGATGCGGAGGGGAACCAGGAGGAGAACGTGGAGAGGGATGTAGAGGGGAACGAGGAGGAGGAGGCTAGTGGAAGTCAACCCTCCGCTGGACAGAAGAGGGCATGCGGACAACGAGGTGCCGCGAAGAAGCTAGAGGGTCGGCACATCATAACGGAAGTGGACGAAGATGGCCGACCTAGTGCCCCGGCAGAAGCAGCCAAGAACTACGTACAACACAACGGTTGGTTTGTGCGGGATAACGTGCCTGTCAGTACGGTGTATTGGCGTAGAACAAGGGCACACGGAGATCATGAGAGCTTTGTCCCAGATTCGGAGAAAGAGATGTTGTGGACCACAATGCTTGAGACATTCACCCTTCCCGCGGGTATAGAGAACAAAGTGAAAAGGTGGACTCTAAAGAAAATGGCAGAACAGTTTCAGAGCTTCAAGGGAGATCTGTACCAGAAATACATCCTGAAGGGGCAGGCACCGAACTTCGACACATTCCCAAAGCTAAGGGATCACTAGGACGAGTTCGTTGCATATAAGACAGGTCAACAAGGGCAGGCGATGATGGAAAGAAACAATGAAAATGCCGCCAAGAAGAAGTACCATCACCACTTGGGGTCAGGCGGCTATAGCGTCGCGATGCCGAAGTGGGAGGAGATGGAGGCAAGCTTGCTTGAGAGGGGTATCGAACCGGCCACCGCTAAATGGCCGGATCGATCGAAGTTCTGGTACTATGCTCACGGTGGAATGCTCAACCCAGTTGATGGCTCCCTGGTCTTCAGCGATCAGATACACGAGGCTGCGCGTCGACTAACGGACGCAGTGGAAGCCTCTTCTCAAGGCACGTTCCAACCCGACAGAGAGAAGGACGAGCTGTCACTCGCCCTGTAGACTCCCGAGCATCCAGGACGAACATGAGGGAAAGGGGTGATTCCTTGGAAGATTGGATTCAAGGAGGACATCCACACGTACAGGAGTCGGATAAGGAGCAAGAGAGATACCGAGGCGAAGATTGCAGATCTTGAGTACAGGGTATCGAGCTACGAGCTCAGCATGCAAGAGGAGGTGGCAAGGAAGGTTGATGAACGCATGGCCGCACATCGGTCCCATGATCCCCAGCCGTACATTCCTCCTGCAATGGTGAGCCCTTCAGCAATCGTAGCAGCTGCGCCTCAACGGGGTAGGTAGGATCACAAAGCATGGACGCCATGCAAACCCAGGACGAATCCACCTGTCCCGTTGATGATATCACTCAGCAGACACCATGTGAGCTGCATATTCCCTTCAAGAACTTATCAATAAAGGTAAGCTCGTAGTTTATAGATTTTAGACTTGTCCATTCCGCAAGTTGCTGCTTATATATGTTGATTACTAATAAATAACCTATCACCACGTGAAGGTGGCGTCAGGCATGGCCATCCCAACGGACCCTTCAGGGACTTACCACTGCAGGCCGATTCCAGCAGGATACTCCAAGGTCGAAATTGAGTTGGTGGAAGGCGCGTACGAGGACCTCGAGTTGGACTACCCTGGAGGAGACGGTGAGACGCATCTACGAGACACAAGCCACGCCATTATACTACGGCGCAAGCGATACATCATCCCCCTGGGCGACAAGCGGCGTCTCGTGCACCATCTCCTCCGGCTCCGCCATCTCCTCCTCAGGCTCCTGCACCGTCTCCTCCTCATGCTCCAGCACCGTCTCCACCTCAGGCTTTTGCACCGACTCCTCCTCAGGCTCCTGCACCGACTCCTCCTCAGGCTCCTACACCGACTCCTCCGCAAGCTCCTCGTCCAGCACCTTCCAAGTCAAGGGCCTCCCAAGCTCCACCGCCTGCCCCCACAAGGGCAACGAAGAAGGCGAAAGTTGACGCTGCAAAAAACAAGGACCCGGGGTACGATTGCACGCAAGAGGAGCTTGACGCTTATGTGGCATCAGAAGTCAGGAGACAATTGAAGCCTCGAAGTCGAGAAAAGAAGATTCCTATAGACCCGAGTGCTAGGAACTTCTTCAGGGGTATGTCTGCACCTGCCAAGGAGGCCATAAAGCTATCAGACTATGAGCGAACACTTAAGAAAGCATCTTCTGGAAAGTCCAAACCAGTCCCTCAGCTTGGAGAGCAACCAAACCAGGAGATCGAGCCGTTGGTGACCAGTGAAGATTTTGGAATACAAGAATTTATTAATGACACCGGGCTAACTACAGATCAATTGCTACGAGGCGCACCAATCGAAAAGGCGGAAGTGAAATACATGTACGAACTCGGTAAACCGCTTGTCAAGCCTGAGCAGTTGCAGTCCCTATCCACACAAATGTACAAATTCCATCAACTGTACATGGAGATGAGTGCCACCGGTAGAGAGATGATCGGAGCGAGGATCAGGGACACGGACTTCTTGCGAGGAGAAGATATTCTCTGGATCAATTTTAAGGGTATCTACGAACTATACCAGCTGGACGCCCTCGACGTCTCTATTATGAGTTGCTGGGTTTTGTAAGTATCGTTCATTTAGATTTCTTATTACATTTCCTTTAGTTAATTAGGTCCTTGTATATAAGTAGACTATATATAATATATACTTCCTTTTATCGTTGTAGAATGGAGATTCAAAGGGCCCGACGGCGGGGGGTTTTCGATACTGGATTCATCGACCCTCGGAAAGTAAACGTCGCAATGCTCGACCAGTATCCGCAAGCCACAGAGGACAATCTCGTCCATCTCCTAAAGGCGCAGCATTACAAGACGTTCATACTATTGCCGTACAACACCGAGTTAGTTTTTACTGTCTTCCTATACCAAATTTCATTCTCGTATGAACATGCTAAGTGTTTCATATGTAATGCATCCGATGCACATTGCAAATTCCACTGGGTCCTTTTACTCTTCGACTTGGAGGCCTGCACCGTCAACGTATATGACTCAATGGATAAAAAAGAGTCTACGTTTGACAAGGTTTTTGAACTTATAGATAGGTACTGTCATAAGTTCCTATGTTAATTAAGAATCTTGTTATAATTAATTGCTACTACGGATCATAGCTTTAAACTCCATGTAGGGCTTGGTATCGGTTCCGTCATTTGGTCCGCGGCAATTGGAGAGAAAGACTTAGGCGGAAGTTTAATTTTCCTGTGAGTACACATGCTCTAAATTTATATTGAATCTCCAATTCAAATACATACAAGTGTATATTAATTAGATCTCTCACCATTTGTCATTTATATATAGTGCGCAAAGCAAGCCCAGGGAACTAACTTGTGCGGCTACTACGTGTGCGAGTATTGCCACTGCCTTGCAGACCAAATCATCACCACAAGAGAGCTCGATGTACGTACAAATAAATTCAAAATTTCATTGCGTACGTATCGATTTGTTGTTTACTAATTAATTTCATACATTCATATAGTTTATTCGTATAAGGGATAATCTCACACACAAGGAATTTATCGCGGTGGTTCAAGAACAACTTATGGGATTCATCAACGAACAAATCCTTGATCCCAACGGTGAATTCTACTACGACGGAAATACAATTCATATGTTCTTAGCTTCTGAGATAATGACTACTACTACGTCGAAATCGTAGCTAGCTAGGACATCATAATGGATTGTAATTAATACATATCTATTTTTTTATATGCATGTACACATTTCTTTAATGTAAATATATATTTTGGTCATATATATATGCACATAAAATGTTAAGTGCTTTCACACACACACACATATATATACATACATACATACATACATACATACATACATACATACATACATATGCATTTGCATAACATATATATGTATAAATACATATATATTATGCATGTATATGTATTGAAACATATATATATATATATATATATATATATATATATATATATATATATATATATATATATATATATATATATATATATATAAACCATGCAGCAACAGGGCCATGCAAATATAAAAAAAAGGTCAGCTCGATCTTTAGTCCCGGTTATTTCACCCGGGACTAAAGATAGCGATCTTTAGTCCCGGATTGGTAGTCCCGGTTTGAAAACCGGGACTAAAGGGGGTTACGAACCGGGACTACAAACGCTTTCTCCACCAGTGCCCATTGAACTGATCAGGGGGAAAATCTAATCAAGCCGGGCTTTAGTCCCAAGCCCTATGTCCCTTGTCTCATTATTCTCAAGTTGGAGCAGTGATTCACATACTGTATTTCTAGAAATAAATTAACTTAACAACATACTTCTTGAGTCCATTGTTAAGCTTTTGGAGACTATTTATGAACTAACCACTACTAGAGAACTGATCTTTACTCGGATGACAAAAATCACATTTGTCCCGGTTCGAAAAGGAACCGGGACTAAATAAGAAATCTTTAGCTCCAGTTTAAAAGCCTAACGGTACTTTATGATCTTTAGTCCCGGCTGGTAACACTAATCGGGACTAAAGATTATTTTTAAACAGAAAGTTAAGGAGGAATTCAATTCCATAACTTTATTCGAACAAATACCTCAGCAAAAACTGATTACCAATAAAGTTTGTATTTTGCAATCCTGAATACATACAATAATTTATCCCCCTTTCAAAATTTAAAGTTGGGAGAAAGTGAAAGAACTTCTATTCAACTCAACAAACATATGAGGTCATCACTGAATCAATTAGTTGTATATATTGATTGATTGATTTACATGTATATCTCCTGGCCTCGAACTGTACCCGTGCAGGACAACCAATGGACATATATGCATACAGCACAGCTACAGGCTACTACTGTCAACCAACCCCCTGAATCTGAAGGGAGGAAAAAAACTTTCAAAACTTTCAGCAATTGAGCGCAGGGGTACTGTATACCTCTCAACAAATAGTACAATTCACTTTTTAGTATTATCATTATTATTATAGTAATAATTATTATTAAAAGTCCTTGGATCCTTAGCAACCATCAATGGTGAACTGATGGAAAAAGAAGACGCATGTGTGACCGTAAAAGAAACCAGCTAAAACTAATGCAGTTTCGACGAGTTGTTTTGTTCTTGTGTGATTTCATGGCGAGCGCGCGGCCGGCAGATCAAACTTCCGCCATGCAGCGCTACGCGACGCACGCCGTGGCGACGGCGGCGGTGGCGGCGGCGGCGGCGCGCTTGACGAAGCGGCCCTTCATCCGCGGCCGCTTCTCGGCGTTGAGCTTGCGCACCTCGTACCGGATCTTCTTGGAGAAGAGCCGCGTCCGCCGCTTCTCCCTGTACCTCGACACCCGCGCCTCCCTGCCGCCGTCCATCCCCAGCCTCGGCGTCAGCGCCTGCTCCTCGCCGCCGTGCCCGAACACCCCTGCCGCCGCCATCCACACCCCCTGCACCGCCGCACGTCGCCGGAGCAAGTCATCAGTACCAGCTAAATTGTGGAGTATACGGTGAGACGAGGCGTACGGTGTGCATGGCGTGGCACGTACCGAGTAATCGCGGGGCCAGGAGTCGTCGAGCTTGACGTGCGGCCGCTCGCCGTCGGTCCACGGCGAGGTCCCCCAGCTCTCGATGATGGCCTCGTAGTTGAGGCTGAGGGCGAGGTTGCTCTGCTGGAGCTGCGCGTCGTCGTCGGCGGCGGCGGGCCCGCTGCTCCCGACCTTCTCGTCGGGTGTCGTCGCCGCCTGAGGTGAGCCGCAGTCGAAGTCGATGTCCAGCATCTCGCCGGACGATGTCTCCGTGTCCAGCTCGTGGCACCACGCTAGGGTCATCCCGGCGTCGCCGTCGGCCTCCACCTTGACCCGCCCGGCGTCGTCGTCCACCGGCTCGATGAGCCCCAGCGTCTCCATGCAGAAGGAGTCCTCGTCGTTGCCGTCGTCCAGGCCACGCCCGAGGAGGGCCTCCATGTCGGCGGCGAACTCCCTCAGCTCGGCGTCGGTCGGCCCGAAATTGGCTTGGCCGTCGGGGAAGAACTGGAGCGGTGGCGTTGTAGCCGTCGTCGTCGTCATGGACGGCTTCGTCGGGTTCTCGACGGCGCCGTCCTCATTGCAGCAGGACACGGCGGCCGCCGCGTCCTCGAGGGGAGGCGGCGAGCAGAACTCCGAGAGGGCCGGGTCAAAGATGGGGACGCGGTACAGCAGCTGCTCCTGCTCCTCCACGATCTCCCCCTCGTCCTTCCGCTCCTCCGGCGAGTCCCCTCCACTACCAGCCGCCGCCTCGGGAACGACGACGAGCCGCCTCGACAGCAGCTGCCCGAAGGCGGCGGCGCTCTTGGCGGCGTGCGACCGCGGGGTCCGCGCCTTGCGCTTGAACCACGCCGCGGGGACGGCCTCGTCGCGCCGCCCCGACCCCGACGGCGGCACCAGCGGCGGCGGCGACGACGGCCGCAGCCGCAGCCGCTCGTGGCGCCGCGCGAGCGGGTTCGCGGAGTGCACCGACGTGTCGCACCCCTGGCACAGGAACGCGTCGTCCGCCGCGCAGTACCACCTCGCCCGCCGGCGCAGGCAGCCGTCGCACGCCCGCGCCGACTTGGCACCCACCGCCCCGGCGGCCGCCGCCTTCGCCGTGCTGCTCATCTACCACTCCTCTTCTTCTTCCTCCTTCAGTCCCCGTGTCGTGTCGTGTCGCGGCTGGACGAACACCTACGAGGCTTACAAATATTTGTGGCGAAAATATCGCGGGTTTACGTTTATACCCTACGTAGCAGGTAGCACTAGCCAGGGGTGGGGCCCGTGTGGTGCGCTTTTTGTGGGACCCACGATGGGTGTACTTTGCACTTTGGGGGTGGCTGGTGGGGCACACCTGTCAGGCCTTATCTGCGACGTGATTGGTTGACGGGGAATACCCCATCCGGCAGGAAGGCCTGGGATTGGGCGGAGCCGGATTTTTGGTGGGGCCACGGCGTTTTGCTACGGGACGCCCGGAGTCCTGTCCACCGTCGCCCTCGCGGTTGATGCGGCTCGCAACGCCGCTGGCAGTGGGCCCATTCTAGGCCTGCCGCTGAAAAGTCTTTCTAGGAATATATAGGGCCTATTTGGGGGAGTTGTTCTGAGAAAGAACTGGTAGTGCTTCTGAAAATCCGGAAAAGCCGGGTTTTTCAGCTTCTGTCTTCTAGTTCATTTTTAGGATTTTACAACTACAGCTTCTCAGAATCTGGACCAAAAGCTGAACTGTTTGGGAGAGCTTCTGATTCTGGGAGAAGCCGCAGCAGCTAGAAGCTCCCCCAAGCAAGCCCAGTTTCTTTTTAGATATAGGAGTATATATATATATATAATATGTAGTAGTAATAATGAAAATATTTTGTTTTAAAAAACTACTTTGAGACACTACTAATAAAAATAGGTTTTGCATTCTTGTTTATAAAACATGTTCACAACTTGGGTTGCCATTTATTTATTTATTTTGTTTACTGAAGGATATAAGGTAAAGTCGATGCATGATGAAAATATGTTGTGCGATGCTATTCTTTTGTACCTATCACAATGCATCCAAAGGGCCCATCCACAAGCTTGCACAATCATCTCTTCATTTTAGGTGGAAGGTGCACTGGTAATGGCGATTCATCGGCAACAACTCTTTTACATAACGTTATATGGTAGAATGTAAGAACATCTTTTGGGGACACAACGGCAACCATGCTCCATGCATTCAGTAGTCATCCATCAGGCAAATCCGCTTCCTCGTGTGTGGTTTGCAAGTGCCCTTCTTAGGGAGCTATGGTGGTAAAGAAAAAGGAAGGAAGAAGAATCTTACCATATAGGGTTATATGTTACTTTTTCTTTTTCGACAAAGAAAGCATAACTAGGGTTCTATGTTACCATTGCCTTGAAAACTAGGTTTTCTTTATCTGAGCTTTACTTTTAAAATATGTTTGTAAGCTTTGGTCAAATACTACTTTGCAAATAGACTTCATTTTTAGATAGTCAGATAAGTATATATGTGTGTTCGCTAGATTCGCATACAATCGGTGTTTTGGATCTACATTGTATTTATTTATTTATTTTTGAAGAAAAGACAAGAAGATCTACATTGTATTTATGAAATGTTAGTACATCCAAGTGATAACGATTGGGTCACTATTCAATTATTGGCACTTATTCGGCGTAAAATTTCACGATATATAAGTGAAGTAAAATCAGCATATATACATAGTTTTCGCCGCGTCCTGGTATATGGTCCCGGAAGAAAGTTGTTGTGCTATTAGCCATGCCTGGATATGCAACCAAACAAGGAACCTCTCTCACACCCAAATCCGAAGAAAATATTGCCTGGGGTCCCCAGGCCTGTGATTTGTATACCCTCCTTGAAAAGTTGATGTTGTGGAACATAGCGGTTGATGAGCAATTTGGAACTTTGCAGGGAGGTCAGCATGGGCTTACAAAACACTCGGACTCATGGTGATGCTGATGTGATACACTAAAATTGTACAGGCCTTATCCACTTAAGATAATGCCATGTAATTAAGTATGTTCAAAAATTAAAATAGATAATGCATTCTAAATATTTTCTTATGTGGTTAGTATCCAAGAAGAAAAGGGAATTATTTGAGAAAAGTTGGCGTCCATTATTACCTTTTTTTTAATTCCTTTTGCATAGGGAATTAGCACTAATTCTCTTTTTTTGAAAAAAATGAATAAATTTGTTTCTATGCATGGACATGTATGCAAGTTTATTTGGAAGTATATAAGAATATACAAATTTTTAGAGATGTACACAAAATATTGTATGGATGTTACTTGCCAACTAGCACGTGGCCTTGCGTTGTTCAGAAATATCATTGCTGCTAATTTCCAAAAGCTGGAAATAGCATTTTCCAAAAGCTGTACACAACAGTGGACCTGGGTGGATATTCATAAGCTTTATGCTTAAGTGTTTTCACTCAACATTGTATTTTAGGATCCCATCAAAAACCACTGTATTTTAGGATCAAGTACTACCACCCCCTCCGATCATATACTACGTTTTCTAAAACTAAAATTGGTGTTAAAATGTCATATATGAATGAACGAATGAAGTATTTTGTTAGTTGTTTATTTTAGGCTAGGACCAATGGTCCAATACTTAGTAATAATAAATAGTTGAGTGCATGCCTTATGCAGAGGTCGAAGTAAATTTATTCTATTATCTTAAACAATATAATTGATGGTAATTTGGTAGAGCTCTGCTCTATTTTCTACACTGAAAATTTGGTAGAGGTCCGCCCTAGTATTTCCTTTCAGAGATCTGGTCTCCTAATTCACCGTGGATCTGGAAGTGTGTTTAACAAAAAAAAAAAGATTGTTACAAGTAAGGTCTCCTTCGGAACAAAGGATTCGTGGAGGAAATCTGTAGAAAATTTTTAGGAGACTAATTAAAGAGGTTTCCAAGGTGAATTAGCAACAAGGCCCATGGGTTAGCATCCAATGTTTTTTGCAGCAATTTTAACTACTCTAGCATAAATTTCACATTGGCATTATAGCAAGGAACTGGTGGCACAAATGGATTTTTTTTTAAAAAAAAATATAGCTCAGCTCTAAAAAATTATTGGGTGTTGAATTGGATTTGGATCAGCTCTGAATTTTCTATTAAGATCTGCTAGTGCAAATGTGACATTAGCTATACGCCTTGTTAGGAGAGCTGCAATTACTTTCATAATCTCTAGCTTCTCCAAAAATTCTAGATTCTCACTCAAATTTTGAAACTCAGTTATAGTCCTAGTCACCAAAAGCTAGGTAACCTCAACTCCCCCAAATTCTCATCAGCTGGTTATTAGAATCTCCAGCTCTCGCAAAAGACAATAAAATGCACCATCCATTTGAAATGACTAGTTCGGGTTCTATCTTTCATTTTCTTTTTTACTTATTGTTTAGGACACCGACACAACCTCTAACTCCAAAGCAAATACTTGATTTTGTTTTAATCATATTAAAAGAAAATATAATTACATCAAAATATTTTTTTTCATAAAAACTTAATCAGTAGGTAACCCTAATCAGACGGGTTCTCCTCACCGGCGACTTCAACCAGACAATCACCGTGACGGCTCCAAAGATTCCTGGGTTGTTTTTGTTTTAATTTGATGAATAGCCTAGATTTCTGTCAATGTCTTCTCAGACAATCCTGCTTCCATAGTGCCAATATTGGAGAAGTCACAGCTCAGAACACACAAGCCGACCTGCCACTGCCAGAATGAGCCCAGCTGGGTCAACACTAGACTCCCTAGTCCCTAGCACACCATGCATCTCTCAATGGATCTCAAGCGTCAATTCAGCGTATCTGAAAAAGAAATGGAAATGGGAAAAGAGGGAGTAACAGATGCTGTGTTTAGTTCATGTACTAAAAATTTTTTTTTTGACGCATACGGACACACATTTAAAGTATTAATCGTAGATTAATAACAAAACAAATTACATATTCCGCCTGTAAACTGCGAGATGAATCTATTAAGCCTAATTAATCCATCATTAGCAAATATTTACTGTAGCACCACATTATCAAATCATGGCGTAATCAGGCTCAAAAGATTTGTCTCGCGATTTACATGCAAACTGTGTAATTGTTAATAGGCTCTCAATACCTTGGGTTAGCTTGATCTGGTCCACTTATTATATTAACAAAGTTCCTCATGCTGATCGCCCTAGAGGGTCTTTTTGGTGGAAAGATGTTCTACAATTTGCAGACATTTTCAGGGGATTGTCCACCTGTAAGGTTGGGGGTGGAAAGACTTGTCTGTTTTGGGATGATTTCTGGAATAATAAAGTCAGGTCAGTAATGTACCCAAGGATTCACTCTTATGCTGTTTCTTTGAAGGATTCAGTGAGTTTAACCTCTTCCAAGAGTATTTCGCAGCGTTTTAATCTCCCTCTGTCTGAGCAAGCCTTCCATGAGTATGATATAATGTCTGCAGCTGATCCTTTAAATCAATTATCTGATGAGAATGATGTCTGGTCTTATGTTTGGGGAAATGGTTTGTTCTCTTCCAAGAAAATATATGACATTAATTTCATGCATATACATGCGCCTAGTTATCTAGCTTGGATCTGGAAGAGTAAGTGCGCTATGAAGGTTAAAGTTTTTGGATGGCTTCCGACTCAATACTTATGACATGCTTGACAGAAGGCATTGCCCTCCCAATAATTCAGATCTAACTTGTGTCCTTTGCTCAACCTGTGCAAGAGAAACCACCTTTCATCTATTTTTTCAATGTCCTTTTAGTGCTGATTGCTGGGCACAGTTTGGAATTGTCTGGGATATTTCTCTTGCCTTCACAGATATGCTGTATCAGGCAATGAATTCTTATAGGTCTACGCACTTTGTGGAGAAAATTCTTTATGCAGCCTGGAATATTTGGAAACAGAGGAACTCCCTGATTTTCCAGAATTTAGCACCCTCAATTTCTTCTTGGAAAGCTCTCTTTAAGAGTGATCTTTCCCTTTTAGTTTTTAGATTAAATGTTTCTGAGAGACGGTCCCTTTTGAATTGGTTATATCTTTTGTAATTTTTTTCTATAATAAAGTTATTTAACTGTGGGGGCTTCCCCTACAGTGCCTTCCCTCAAAAAAAAAACTGTGTAATTATTTTTTTATCCACATTTAATACTTCATGCATGTGTATAAACATTTGATGTGACGGAAAAGTTGGAAGTTAGAGAGTGGCAGTTCCGTGGAGAAATTGGGGAATAACAATGTCATAT